CTTTTTTTTGAACCCTGACTTTGATCCAATCTCGTTTTAATTTTTCCCTTTCTTTACTTGAAAGCTTGGAGTTAGCACTTAACCAACAATCCACATGGCTATTGGCAATCTCATTGTAATTTTCATTTCAGAACAAAATAGGCATTGTTTGAAAATAGCAGAGTTTGTTTTTATTTTCAAAGTCGTGTTTGTAAATTCCATTTTTGGCGCGTTTCTGTTTTTTTTTTCCTGTTTCTCCCGATCTCCATAGGAAAATTAGCATTTCGTGTTACATGTTGTTATTTTCTCCGCCCTGCTTAGTCTATGTTCGTGAGTTTCTTGTTTGTTTTGCTTGTTTTCGAATTCAATCCGATAGTGATTCTCGTCCAGTCTTGTCTCCGATCGCTTTCACAAAGGTCATTTTGTTCCATACAATTTGTGGATTCATTTTTCTTCCATTCTTTTAAACAGTTATCGTTTGATTTAACTGTTTCTTTACTTAATAAAATATTGATTTCATTTTTCAATTGTTTTATGAGATGTCTAAACCAAATTTCTTAGCAGCAATGGTAAGATTTTTGTTTCTTCCAGGATTTCAAGTTCCCTCTCACGGTGTTTGACGGTGACATATTTAGATCAAAAATCGAATTTCTGCAAAATTTTTCTTTCCATTTAAATACGTGTTTGCATTTGTTTTGAAGTCGCAATGATGTCCAAATCAATAGCTTATCCATGAACGCTCATATTGCCTAGTTTTTTTCTCTTTTATGTGGTGAGGCCTTTTCCCTGTCCATTTCAACGTATGCAGTGTTTTATTTTTAAACTTTTAGGCGTATGAGAGGAGACAGTTGAAAATTATACATATATGCGTGCGTGTATCTCTCTCTCTCTATATATATATATTCTGAAAGATAATTTGTTCATATAGAAAAAGAGAACTATAGAAATGAGACAAATATGTCATTTACTTTGCTGAGGTGCATCCTTTTATTCAATTTGAAGTTCTTAAAGCTTGGTTCCTTTCAGTGCAATCCGAGAGGGGTTGTGATTTTTTTTCATGGTTGGTAACCATTTTGGTGTCGAAGAGAAGGGCAATGATTTTCTTTTTTCTGTTCGAAATTGTTAATTAAGGGTATAAAATTAATATAACATTAAAGTTTTAAAATTATCAATGTAATTTGAACTTTATTTTGTTTTTTAAAATATTTGTTGGCGGCTAGTTTATAACCTATCTGACTCTGTTCTATTTTCCTGGGCATTTCAGTTGATATAGATTGTATTTTAATGGTTTCCTGCTTTGAAGGCTAAATTATGGATGACTCTGAGGTTGAAGAGAACCTGTTTGCAGTTAGTGATGCCAAGGTAAGAATTTGGTAGCATTTGGATTTTTTTTGCTGTTCTTTGAATTCTAATTAACTTCACAAAAAAGCACATGCTTGCTTGCCATTTTTTTAAAAAACTTTGCAGAATTTTTTTTTGTTGGTATCAATTCATCTCTTAAGTTTATAGTTCTTGTTACTGTTTTTTTTTAAAATAAAAGACCTGTTTTTGGGAAGTTGTAATGTTTGAATCTTGTCGCATTTTTTTAGGACAAAGGAAAAAAATCTGAATTTTCACAGTTTTCTAACCTATTTTCTATTTTTTTTCTCATGCAGTTACATGGAGAAATGTGCAAGACACTTTCAGAAATTTATTGCAAAGTTTTGTCGATATTCCCTTCCGTAGAAGCAGCACGGCCTAGGAGCAAATCTGGGATTCAGACTTTATGCTCATTGCATATAGCTCTAGAAAAGGCTAAAAATGTTCTTCAACACTGTTCAACATGTAGTAAACTTTACTAGGCAAGATATATTTATGCATAGTTGTATATGTATGTACTCATATGTATTCTTAGAGTAGTGTTTTTGATTTTTGTTTGATGCATTCACTTACTGATTTTTCTATGTTTTGTTTTACACCATGTTTTTTCTTAGAGATTTTTACTAACGGTATTGTTCTTCACATTTAGGCTATTACCGGAGATTCTGTTCTTCTGAAATTTGAGAAGGCCAAATCTGCTCTTATTGATAGTCTTAGGCGCGTAGAAGATATAGTTCCACAGTCCATTGGATGTCAGGTAATGATTCTCCCCTTTTGGTTTGAGATTGAAATTATGTAATTTTTCGAGTATTCAAATAAACAAGGATCTTTTTTGCAAGCAGTTAAAGTTTGTGTTTATCCAAATCATCCTAGTGCATTGTTATATTTCCTAATGATTGTGGTTCAAATCAAGAAGGATTTTCAAATTATTAGGAAATTTGCTGTCATGGTTATATTGGAGTTACCTGCAATATGAATCTTCCTATGTGAAACCCTGAGTAGCTGTTGCTTTTTCTCGTACACTAACGGTATTCTCGATTACTTGTTTGGCTTCAGGTGTTAGAGATTGTAAATGAACTTGAGGAGGCTGTTTTCTCACTCGATCCGTATGAGAAGCAAGTTGGTGAAGAAATAATTGCATTACTCCAGAATGGGAGGAATTTTGAAGAATGTAATGATACCAATGAACTCGAGTCTTTTCACCAGACAGCTTCTAAACTTGGCATCACGTTTTCTAGAGCTGCCCTTGCTGAAAGAAGGGCTCTCAAGAAGGTGATCGAAAGAGCCCGTTTAGAAGAGGACGAGAGGAAGGAATCTATTGTGGCTTATCTTTTATCTCTTATGAGGAAATACTCCAAGTTATTTCGAAGTGAGGTTTCAGATGATAATGACTCACAGGGTTCAGCACCCTGTTCCCCCATTGTTTTGGGTTCTCTTGATTATGGAGGGGCTGGTGGTAATGGCCACGCATTTGAGCTGCAGCTGTCAAAGCTCAATTCATTCAATTTCAGGACAAACATTAGGAGATCTGAAGAGATACCCCTTCTACCCGAAGAATTACGTTGTCCAATATCATTGCAGCATATGTATGAACCAACTGTAATTGCCTCTGGACAGACATATGAAAGGATCTGCATCGAGAAATGGTTTAGGGATGGGCACGACACCTGTCCGAAGACTCAACAGAAGCTCCCGCATCTCTCTTTGACTCCTAATTACTGTGTCAAGGGTCTCATTGCAAGTTGGTGTGAACAGAACGGAGTTCCTATCCCCGATGCCCCCCAAGAGTCTCTTGATCTTAACTACTGGAGACTGGCCTTGTCTGTATCCGAGACTGCAAATTCTAGATCAACGGATAGTGTTGGTTCATGCAACTTCAAGGGGGCTAAGGTGGTTCCTTTTGAGGAGAGTGTTACAAGTAAGGATGTGGAAGGAAATGAAGCTGAAGATGAATCTTGATCCCCACAGGAAGAAGTTTTCGAGCTCAACGTATTAGAAAGATATCAGGAAGTCCTATCTGTCCTGAATGACGAAGAGAAATTGATGGAGAGATGCAAAGTTGTGGAACAAATAAGGCTTTTGCTGAAAGATGATGAAGAGGCCAGGGTTTTTATGGGGGCTAACGGTTTTGTTGAAGGATTATTGCGATTTCTAGAGTTGGCTGTGCGTGAACGGAATGCAAGAGCTCAAGAAGTCGGGGCAATGGCTCTCTTTAACCTTGCTGTCAACAATAACAGGTATGTTGCTCATGTCTTATGCCTTTGCTTAGTTAAACCCGGAGATGAATCGTTACGAGCAATACGTGTTATTAATATTAGCACTGTTATTCATGTGATTGTTCGGCGTTATGTATGCCATTATTAAGATGAATCTTTTTGATGTTCTTGTTTTTCTCTAAAATAAATATCAGGAACAAGGAATTGATGTTAGCGGCTGGGGTGATTCTATTGCAGGAGCGTATGATTTCCAACTCAAAAGCCGATGAATCGGCAACTGCTCTGTATCTTAATCTCTCTTGCTTTGAGCAAGCCAAATCGATCATAGGCTCAAGTAAGGCTGTCCCATTTTTAGTCCAGCTACTAGGAGGTGAAACTGATTCACAATGCAAGCTTGATGCTCTTCACACGCTTTATAATCTTTCAACCGACCACTCCAGTATTCTTTCTGCTGGCATAGTTAATCGCCTCCAGTCACTTGTGGTCTCGGGTGACCATACCTGGACGGAGAAATCCATTACGGTTTTGCTAAATTTAGCTTCAAGTGAAGCAGCAAAACAAGAGATGGTATCAGCCTCTGGTCTCATAACTATAGCCCGTTTTATTTTGACCATTATTTTTGAATTTTTGTCAGTCGTCACTTAACTATTTAAATACATTCATCATGTCACTTGCCGTTAACATTTAACGAAAATACTGATGTGACAGTTAATAAAATTGGTATAATTACACATTTGGTCACTGTTACCTATATATTATATCAATTTGATCATAATTTTAATAAATTAAAATTAATCTTCGAATCATATCGTGCCACATGTCATTAGTTTTAAATATCATGACACATGTCATCGTTTGATTGGAAGATTTAATTTATTTAAATTTAATAGTTTTATTTCTCACCAATCAGATAATAGCACGTGTGATCCTCTAGTGGAAAAAAAAATTGAAGCTGCTTAAATAAGGGAGGGGGAAATCAAACCTGGGCCTTGGGTTTGAAAGAAATGCGTGCCAACCATTAAACCAAGCAAATTACTTGATTTGGGATAGATTAGATATAATATATATTTTGTATATTAGTCTAAATTTAAATTCCTATATTCTAACTTAACTATTTTATTCTTATTTTTAATTTAAAATATATTTTTTATTTTTATTTTGATTTAAAAATGTATATTTTATTCTTATTTTAAGTTAAAAATATATTTTATTTTTATCTTAATTTTAAAATATTATAAAAATAAAATATAAATATTTAAGTTAAGGTAAGAATAAATTATTTTTTAAATTAATAAAAAAATTAAAGTTCACAAACGCCGCTACCTTTTGCGGAGCTTCTTGCGACGTTTTTACATACGTTGGGAAAGTTTTTAGCGGCACTGAAAAATGTTGTTATAGAGCTAAAAAAATGCCGCTAAAAACGTATATTGATATTGGGTCAAGTTATATAATTTAGACAAGCTGAAAATATTATTCAAAACCTTTTGCAATGCTAAATACATATCACCAAGCAATGCAATGGTGTTTGCCACTAGATTTCATGTAGGTAGAAAACCATGTCTTGAAATTCAATTTAGTATGAACGGATTTACCTATCTAAACCTGCTTCTTTGCGATCGGAGTCACGATCTTCAGATCGCACTTTCTTGTCCCGAAGGAACTCGATGAGTCCTTCGAGGGCAATGTCAGTGTCTTCACTCTTCATAAGCTCTTCTGCAACTTCTGCAGGAGTTACCTCCACTTCCACCATCAATTCATCAATTTCATCGAACAGATTATGATGAGTGATGCATAGGTAATTAGAAGCAAGGACCCTGAATCCACTAGGGGTGCAGTAGGACATGTGGATATGCATGTCCATTCGACCCGGCCTTAGCAAAGCCGGGTCAAGCTTGTCTTTATAATTTGTTGTAAACACTATTATTCTCTCGTCTCCGCAACTTGACCATAGCCCGTCGATGAAATTAAGCAACCCTGATAAAGTTATCTGTCATGAAGATAGATATTAGCAACAGTTTAGTAATTAATGGAACTTGTATAGGCTTATTATGTGATAAAATAAATCATGATGATCGCCTATATATGCTTTCACTTACCTTGTTATCAGTACCAGGCCCAGACCTCTCATCTTGTCTATTCTGGAGGTCAATGCTGCAATCGATATCCTCAATCACAACCATTGATCGATTTTTGGTCGAAACCAACAACCTTCGGAGTTCCGAGTTGTCGTAAATGCTAGTGAGTTCGAGGTCATAGACATCAAATTTTAGGTAGTTGGCCATGGCAGCAATCAAGCTCGACTTCCCTGTCCCGGGAGGACCATACAATAAGTACCCGCGTTTCCATGCTTTTCCTACTCTTTTGTAGTAATCCCTTCTTCGAACAAATCTGTCCAAGTCGTCGAGTATCTCTTTCTTGACTGCAGGGTCTATTGCCAGTTTATCGAAAGTGGCCGGATGGTCGAGATTGGTCGATCCCCATGTTCCATCGCTGTCTTCACCAAAGTGTCCGAGTGAAAGGAGTTTCACCACCTTCTTTTCTTCTTTGATGGCTTTCGACATCTCAATTACATATGGCAAGTAAGAATTTATTACCATTTCCATGCATTTGTTATGAAAACTGAGCTCAAACACTTTATTTTCATCATTTCCTTGATGATTCATTTCCTTTTTCTCAACATAACACATTTCCCATTTGAGTTGGATTCCTTCGTACATGTCGAGAACCTTTTCGCCTCTTTGAATGGTTACAGTTACTTTATTGTCTCTCGGAGCCTTGGAAACCTTAAGCCTCTTCATCGACGCTGTGATTTTCGTCTGTAAGTAGGTCGTCGAAGCTTCATACAGTTCATTGAGGCAGTACCCTTCATATTCATTGATGAGGAGAGTCATCTGGGAAGAAGTTGAACAAAAGCCTCTGAGTTTCGACAGTAACAGGTTTTGGAGTTGTTCCGGGATAACCTGCGCGGTTATGGCTTGAACCTCCCTAACCACGCTTCGGGCCAGCATGGCCGATGCGGTGAATGTAGTGTATGTGGAGAGGACTGATGTCGTTGAAGGGATGTTTTTTACAGAGAACATCTTGAGAATTTTGGGGTGATTAAATTGACAATTTAAAATGCAGAAAAGGGTATGATCTTCGACTATCATCAAATATCATTGGCTTTTTATACATGGGAGATTTCTTTCGTTGCAAGCTACTCAAGCACGTGGTTAAGCTGGCTTTGTTTTTTTTTTTTTCCTTCTTTAGTCGATAAGTAATAATTTGCGTGATAAATTACAAATTTGATAATTGAACTTTCATGCAATTCTTATTTTACTCATACTTTCAAAATTTTCAATTTTCTCACTGAACTTTATAAATTGAGTCTTTTGATCACTCCACTGTTAAATAATTAACGGTATTATGACTTGGAAACATATAACAAAACGATGTAGTATTGGATCTCTAAAACATTTAAATTTTGACCAAAACGACATCGTTTTAATCTAAATATAAAATTATATTTCTTTTTTTCTTCATTTTTCCTTTTCTTTCTTTATTCTTCTTCTTCATCCTCTCATTCTCATTTTTTCTACTGTGGAAGTTGTGGAAGCATGCAAGGAAAATCAAAAATGATTTTTTGGTATTTTCATCCTCTTCATTTTTCTCTTTTCCCTCTTCATCTTCTTTATTTTTTGATATTTTCATTTTTGGATTTCAAAGAGAGCAAAAACGATTTATTATGATTGTTTGGTTCTTGAAACAAGTTTATAAGATTTCCACTGGAGTTGCTTGTGGATTTTGATGGTTGTATCTGATTAATTTGCTGATCGAGTTAGAGTTTGGTATATATTTTAGTTGTAAATTTGGGGTTAGGGTTTGATGGTAGGATTTGAGGGTTAGGTTTTTTTTCCCTGATTAATTTTTATTTTACTAAATAGAAATCCTATGTGGCTGAATTTTAATATTAAAATAAGTTTAATATATAAAGTTCAGTGAGCAAATTTAAAATTTTTAAAAGTACAATGAATAAAATAGAAATCACATGGCAATTCAGTTATCAAATTTGTAATTTACCCTAATTTGCGTGACAAATATAGGTGCCTATAGGGTTCCTTTCCCTAAGTCTTCAAACTTTTATAGAAAACGCGTAAAATAAGTATTCAATTTTTTCCTTAATTAAAGGGGCACGTTAGCTGTAAAACGTGTTTGGTGTCTATATTTTTACGCGGGTGATTTGTTGTGTAGAGTTTTGAAAAAAATTATTTGTTGAGATAAGGTCTAATTGAAATTATTTGTTGAGATAGGTGAAATTTACAGTTTGAACATATGTCGCCAGACGCTCCTGACGACCAAGGAGGTCGCCATATCGTCCTGCGAGCTGTGGTGAGTTGCTTTATTACCTATATCGGTAATTAGGCATCTCGCCAGTTTGGTCGTCGGGATCATATGACGACCTATAAGGTTGTCCGGAATACATGACAACCTCCATTTCAACGTAGTTAAAAAGCCTAATTACCGATGTAGGTAATCGTTGTTACTTAGGAAAATTTAGGTAATCGCATGAAAGCCTAATTACCGATGTAGATAATATTTGTTACTTAGCCTAGCGTGCATGGCGACTACCCCTCGGATGACATCGGATGCTCAGCGTGTTGGGACGTGCATGGCACATGCAAAATATCTCGTAGTTCGAGAAGAAATGGCGACCTAGTAGGTCGCCCGGATGGCATGGCGACCTACGGCCAACACTGTGATTTCATCATATTTGAACAATTAATCTGGGGAGTGCATTATCTCGTGAATTAATTTATTGGAGAACATTATCTCAAAAGTTTTACTATTTTTACACTATAAATATGAGAAATAATAAAAAAAAATCTTGTATCTACAAGGATTAGAACCATTATCAAAGATTAAATATTAAAAAAATTCAAAATAATGAATAGTTGCATTTACATAAATATTTACAACCTTTATTTCAATATTTTCAATTTAAAAAAAAATTGTAAAGAGAAAGCAATAAAAATCGTTTTCAAATGTATATCCATTTATCAAAAATTATTTTAAAAATTTTCAATTAAATAATCATATACTTTTTCCATTTTATAAAAAAATGAAAAATGAAAATTGCACTATTCTGCTGAAACCAAATATAAGTGCTTATGTTTAATATTTTGTTTAATACAAAAATAAGTGTCCAATTTATCTTTTGAAGAATATTTTATTATTTAAAGAATTTTTCCCTTGAAATAGATACTTAAGTTTTCTCGATTATACTTTTAGGTACATATTATTTATTTTTATATTTTAATAATAAAAATATTATTTTTAATTAAAAAATTTTAAAAAAAAAGTTTAATTGTTTTATAAAAACCTATTTTTTAATGAAATTGTAAAAAATCCTAAGAAGCTAAATATCTCATTTCAACCAATTATCAACCGTCGCCGGTCTTCTCCGACCACCATTGTCATCGTCGGACGGTCACCCACCCATTGCCACCCATCTATTGATAAATCGTTGTCCTTACAGTCACCCAAAATCACTAAATTTAAAATCCTCAATATACAAATCCCTAATTCCCAATTTTAATTTTCTAACCCAAATGATCGCCAACCATCTCCAGTCATCTTCGTCGTTAAACGGTTGGGTTTTGATCAGAGTTGCACGGTGTGTCAAATGGTGGTGGCGATAAGAATCTATGAAGAATGACGATTGTATTCGATGAACCTTTGAATGCTTATCCAAGGTAAATGGTGTTATATTACGACAAAAGTCAACAGGGTTTGATCGGAGGTCGACACTGGTGATGATGGTGGTGGTGGTGACGGTCACCATTGACCGGCCGACAGGGCATGGAAGGAGAAAGGGAAGGGATAATGGAAGAGAGAGCACAGGGAGGGGGCTGCTTTTTTTTTTTTTTTTTACAAAAAATGTTTTTAGTTTTTTTATTTTTTTAAATAAATTCTCAAAATTACCATGTGAAACATGTCACTTAACAGAGATATTTAACTGCTGTTAACGTCCGAGCACCTAAAAGTATAACGTTTGAAATATTAGACATCTATTTTTAGCGAAAATTCTTTAAGCATTAAAATAATTTTCGAAGCATAATTTAAATACTTATTTTTATATTAAACCTTAATATTATCTTCACCATTGCTATAAAAATAAAATGATAATAAAAAAAACTTAAACAAACCTCAATTTAAACTCCCTCCAAAAACAAAAAATAGTAATTTCTATGCTTTTTATTCTGTCTCGTCATTTTCAAGACTAAAAAAATTAACAATTCAAATTATTTAATAAATTTATCCTATGTTTAACCCTAATGTTTCTTGCCTTCTTTCTCATCTTAATAATCTTATCAATTTCACCCCCTCTCTCTTTTGCCTTGATCTTATTTTCACTCTCATTTCTTCCATTTCTTTCATTTTCATCCTCTAACCCGGTCTCTCTTCCATCGGAGTCGCAATTTTCCGACTTCGATTTCTTGTGTTGAAGAAACTTAAGGAGTCCATCGAGGGCTATATCAATATCTTCACTCTTCATAAGCTCTTCCGCAACTTCTGCAGGAGTTACCTCCACTTGCATCATTAGTTCATCAATTTCATCGAACAGATCATGATCAGAAATGCATAGGTAATTCCAGGCAAGAACTCTGAATCCACTAGGGGTGCAGTAGGACAAGTGAATATGCATGTCCATTCGACCCGGCCTTAGCAAAGCAGGGTCGAGCTTGTCTTTATGATTGGTTGTGAACACTATTATCCTCTCATCTCCGCAGCTCGACCATAGCCCGTCGATGAAATTAAGCAACCCCGATAAAGTTAACTGTCATGAAGAGAGATTACCGTGTTTGTTTGACATAAATGTAAGATTACAATATACGTGTAACATATTATTGTGAATGTTGTTCTCACCTGTTCGTTAGTATCCTCCTCATATCCGTCGTATTCCCCAAGCTCGAATCTCTCGCTTTGTCGATTCTTAAACTCAATGCTGCAATCAATATCCTCAATCACAACCATTGATCGATTTCGGGTTGAAATCAGCAACCCTCGAAGCTGCGAGTTGCTTAGACCGGTGAGTTCGAGGTCATAGACGTCGAATTTTAGGTAGTTGGCCATGGCAGCAATCAAACTAGACTTGCCTGTGCCAGGAGGACCATAGAGCAAGTACCCTCGTTTCCATGCTTTCCCTACTCTTCTGTAGAAATCCCTTCGCCGAAGGAATCGGTCCAAATCATCGATCAACTCCTTCTTCACCGCCGGATCCATAGCCAATTTATCGAACGTCGCCGGATGGTCGAGATTGGTCGATCCCCACCCTCCATGGCCGTCACAAATGAAGTTCTTAAGTGAAAAGAGTTTCACCACTTTGTTTTCTTCTTTAATGGCCTTGGATCTCTCCATTACATACGGCAAATAAGACCTTGTCACCATTTCCATGCATTTGTTATTGAAACGAAGCTCAAGCAATCTATTTTCATTCCCCATATTTCTTCCGGGTTTACCTATATGGATATTTTCCTTCGTCTCGACACATATCATCTCCCATTTGAGTTCGATTCCTTCGTATACGTCAATAACCTTTTGACCTTTGTGTATGGTCATTTTTACCTTCGTTGAATGACACAAAATTTTATGTTACGAAACAGATTATTAACAGGAAAATATAAACAGTATCTAAATTACATAAAAATTCGAATTTTTAAGATTACTCGTTAGCCTCTTCAGGTCATCTTTAATTACCTTATTGTCTCTCGAAACCTTGAAAGCCTTAACTCTCCCCATTGAGGCCGAGATTTTCGTCTGGAGGTAGGTTTCGGAAGCTTCATACAGTTCGTTGATGCTGAACCCCTCGTATTCGTTGATGACGAGAGTCATTTGGGAATACGGATTCAAGAAAAAGCCATCGAATCTCGATAGTAACAGATTTCGAAGATGTTCAGGGATAAGCTGACGATTATGGCTTGAATCTCACTAACCACGCTTCGGACCAACATGGCTGATGCCGAAAATGTGGTATACGTTGAGAGGATTGATGATGTTGAAGGGATGTTCTTGACGGAAAACATTGTTCAAGGGATGTGGACGATTCTGTTGATGTTATGAGAAATGCAGAAGCAACTATTTGTGTTAGAGGTTTAAGGTTTTGATTTTGTTATTTATTCTTGGTTTCCGATTTGAGTGAAATTCTTAGTTATCTTAGTTTGGATTTTAAATTAACGAAATATTTTGTTTAATATTGCCTAGTCAAAGATATCTTAATTTAGATTTTAAATTGATATAATATTTGAAAAGTGTGATATTCTTAATTCAAAATTTTGAATTTAATCAAATTTATCTCATTTTTTTGTTAATTTTTTATTTTACATTATAATTTAAATTGATTTAATTAATTCCATATTTAATCTTTGATTTCACATCGATTTAAGTAGCTTTATTTTTTCCCTCTAAAAGGTAGGGTTAAAACACTCAATGGGAAAAATAGTTCTAAATAAATTTTAAAAATTATGTAATATTTTTAAAATAAAATTGTTTGATATATAGCACGAATAAACTTACTTCAGTGGTTAAAGGAATCGTTGTTATCATCTAGATAAGTACAAAGCAATATTTATTCAAAGATAACTATCAACCATTTGACATTGAGCGGTCACATCCATGATATTCCTAGTGCTCGAACCATATACCTCAAAGAATAACAATAATTCTTTTACTATTGAGATAACTTGATTTGTGCTAAAATGTAAGTGTAGACAGTGATTTTCGTCCTTACATTACATTATTTATTATAATAATAATAATAATAATAATAATATTATTATTATTATTATTATTATCATCATTAAATAATAATTAAATATTATTACAGACCCAGTTACAAAGTAGTCTGGAGCCCCATTTACAAGCAAATCCAAACCTGCAAGAAAAAACCCCACCAACATCCATTCGAAACGGAGAGAACCCAACAAAAAAAAAACGATTCGAAAACAATCAACAACAACCACTAAACAACAGAAAGGAAACAAGAAAGAGAAGTGAAGCTTATCCTCGTTGAAGCCTCCAAATCGTCGTCGAACCACCGGATATTTCGAAATAAACACTTAGATCTAGGTCAATTGACTAGCTTATAGGTAAAGGGGCCAAATTTGGGTTTAGGGGAAGTCGAGGTCATTTTGGGTTCATTTTCCAAATTTCGACCACCGTCGACGGTGGTTTTTGACGCCAATGTACGGTGTGGCCGACCTACCTCCGACGAGAGGTTTTTAGAGAGAAGTCAGAGCATTTCCTTTTCTCTCTTTTTAGAGAGAGAGGGAAAATAGAAAAGGAAAGGGTTTGGTAATTTAGGGTCGATTTTGGGTATAAACACCCCTCCATGTGACGTTTTGGGGAAGGGCTTTTGCGTATTTAGTGTATGGGAAAATCATTCTCCCAGTCCCTCGAGTTTTTTAATTTTTCATTTTGGTCACTGAAATTAATTTCTATGCATTTTAATTTGGGTTTCAAATTTTATTTTGTTCCCATTTTAGTCACTTAACGTATTTATATGTATTTTATATAAATATTTGATTTAGTCCTTTAATTTTAATAATTTACATTTTGATCCTGACCTTTAGTTATGGTTAAATTACAATTCCAGTACCTCAATTACATGATGTTTTTGTTTAGGGCCATAAGTTTTTATTATTTTACAACTTAATCCTCGAATTTAATATTTTTAATTTTTAATAATATTATTGGTTTATTTATGTTTGTAGTACCTCACATATTAATTATTTACAATTGTTGTCTTGATCTTTTATTATTTTTATAATTTAATCCCTAAAGTTACTATATTTATAATTTTATCCTTTATTTATATATTTATAAATTTATTACATAAAATAAATTTTTTTATATTATTTTATACGATTAATTTAATGAAATATCCCTTAACTAGCAAGGAGTGTGTTTCTAACAATTGCTCGAATAAAATAATATTTTTTATGTTTTAAATGAATTTATATGTTTATATATTTTTATCTATATATTGTATCTAAAATTTAGTGTAATACTATTTTGTACAAGGAATCCATAAAAATACCCCCTTAACTGACAATGGAGGTATTTTCGAGGATTATTCGTATAAAATAATTTTTTATTTTTCTAAAAAAGTATCACAATTTAAATATTATTCAAATTTGTCAATTTTAATATTGAGATGACGTATAATCATTTAAGTACTGATTTTTTGGCGTTGTAGGGGTGCTAATCCTTCCCACACGTAACCGACTCCCGAACCCGTTTTTCAAAATAAATCTCTGGTCAAATACATATCAATTTTTTATCTTTTAAATTATTTATTAAAATTATTTTAAAATATATTTTTAGGTATTCGACTTATCTAACCCAAAGATCGATGGCGGCTCCAATTTTTTTTATTTATATATTTATTTAAAACCCGCATGTCCTAATATTAAATTGGATCGATCCCGATAAAAACCTAAAAAACCGCGGGCACAGTTTCGACAGTAAAGTTTAGATACATAGATATTTTATAATTTCAGGATTTATGTTTTAGGATTTAAAAGGTAAGAATCAAGTTTAGAGATATTTTAATGTTTAGAGTTAGAATTTAGGATAAATTATACTATTGATCATTTAATTTAAAATATTTTAATTTGACCATTTATCTTTTAGTTTCTCAGTAAGACTTAACGATTTAAAAACACCAATCAAATCAGTTGTTACTAACATTTGACGAATGATTTAATATGATAGTTAACAAAAAAATTATATAATTATAACTTAACAAAATAAAATATTGAGGGTTAAAATGTTTTAAAAAAATAAGGATCAAATTGACTATTTAGTCAAATATTATGTGTCTTTTTACTCTAAAATAAAATGTTGAGGAAAAAATATTTCAAATAAAGAATATGGATCAAAACGATCATTTTAATAAATATTATCGAATTAGTTTTGATACTATGTCAATTTAATGTAGAGTGTGAGTAACATTGACAAGTAAACCTTTAAACAAACCGAACGAACACGATAAGGGTGTATTCATGTTCGTTCGTTTAACTCTAATCAAACGAACGAACAAACAAAATCAACTAAACAAACAAAATTTATTGTTCGTTCATCAAGGAATGTAACTTGTTCATGTCCTTTCATATTCATTCATTAAAATGATAAACAAACAAACGTGATCAAACATAAATAAACGTAAACGAAATAAATGAATTAACATAAAATTAATTGAATTTATATTTGAGAATTGTTTTTTCTTTTCAAAAATTTTAGGGTTCATATTTTCTTTAATTGATTTAACTATTTTTTATTTAGATTAAGATTAATTATATTTTAAAATATTAATGTGTTTAAGGATAAAATATAGGGTAAACTATGTCAGTAATCTCATTTATTTTTAATTTAACTGACTTTGGTTAACAGATTTTAATTAAGTACATTTGATCTCTTATGTTATCGATTTATCTAATTTAAGTCCCTTAAACATTATACTTGGTTAACCCATTAACGTGACATGACAATTTTAAAATAATAAAAAAAACCCACATTCACCCCAGCTGTGCACGTCTTCCTCTCATCTCATTTATTCTCCTTCATCCATCATTTCTTATTTGTCTCCTTCTCAAAATTAGAAGAGGGCAAAGATCTAGAATTCCGGTGCCCATCCGCCTCTCACCGTCGGCGTTAGGCGTCGCCGATAGTCATCCTCCATCACCCTCCACGTGTCTTTTATTCTTCTTCACATTAAACCACACATGAGCATTTCACGTGTAAGCCCTCTCTCTCTATATGCACACATGACCATTTCAACTCCACAAACCATTTCACGTGTCTGTTTCTTCTTCACATGTCTGGTGCTTCTTCTTCTTCTTTTCATTAAACCACACATGAGCATTTCACGTGTAAGCCCTCTCTCTCTATATGCACACATGACCATTTCAATTCCACAAACCATTTCACGTGTCTGTTTCTTCTTCACATGTCTGGTGCTTCTTCTTCTTCTTCTTCTTCTTCTTCACATTAAACCACACATGAGCATTTCACGTGTAATCCTCTCTCTCTCTCTCTCTATAAGTTAAAATAATAGAACAAACACGTAAAAAGCTGGAAAAAAATCATTGAAGCATTAGGGACACAAGCCATACATTATAAAGTATTACAGAATTATAAAGTTGTCTACAAGTAGACGAGATAAACAAATCACTCGGTCAATGTATGAACTTTATACTTTGTAAAACAGGAAAAAGGTAAGAGGAAAGCAAATCACTCTCTGCTTATGTATATGTTGCTTAAGTTCTTGTGTTTGTTCAACTTTTTGTTTAAGTTTTCGGTAACGGCTAGTTACATCTAAGTTGGTGGCTGCTTAATTGTCTATTATCCATTTTTGCAGGTTTATGAAAGAAGAAGAAGGAGAAACACATTACTTTTTACGTGGAAAAGGTATGGGAGATGTTTGTTCCGCTCGGTAATTCACGGCGCTTGGCTGAGGTCAGGGAAGCAGTCTCCGACCGAGTGCCGCCAGAAAGATCTTGCTGATGAACTCAGAGCTAAAGTACATTTCTATTCTATTTTTCACAATGTCTGATTCCATTTGCATCATTCGGTTTTTAGTTGTACTCACTGCAGAATTCGATATAACTTGGATGGAATTTTTGCCGAATTTTCGATTTTTCTGCGATCCCTTTTCAGTTTTCTTGTTAGCTGCAGATGTCTTTCTTGCTTTATCTTCATTTCGAACCACTTTCGGTCTATCACAACTCGGATGTCTTTCTTCTTTAACTTTGCATTGGCACTCGATAAAAGATTATATGTCTTGATAGGTTGTTGATGAATTCATCAAGAGGCGAGCCGACACCGAATGGTAAGCATTTTCTCTTTTCGAATGAACCTTTGTTGCCACAACTGGGGCACCACAAGCAAGTAAATCGTTAAACTTTTTGCAGGTTCCTCGAGGGTGATTTCGACAACTATGTCATGCAGATGCGGCAGCCTCATATCTGGGGAGGAGAACCCGAACTGCTCATGTGCTCACATGTCCTACACTGATTTTTCCTTGCTCAAATGAAACCTTTTTGCTATCAATATATCAAAATTTTCTCATATGTCAATATATATATTTCACACACAGGACCCCTATAACAGTTTACATGAAGGATAAGAATTCCGGTACCCTCAAAATTATATCTGAGTATGGTCATGAATCCAATTTATAGGGTATCTTTACATGTAAAGAAGATCATCTTTCCTTTTACTAGCAACCGTGCAATAGGCGATATGGATTCGTAGTCCGTAATATATGTAGGATGACTTGAAGGAAAATACCTATTTTTGCTCAACTCCAACAAAACTCAACAGCTTAATAAACCAGCCTATGATCACACGCATGTATACAAAAACATGTTTGGTGAAAGTACAGGGGGAGGGAAAAGAAAAATTGCTACTCACCATCCTTCCATATCTCTCGGATTAGCTCATATCTAACAACTTTCCGGCCTCCCTTTCCCGTAATCACCCAAATGGATTCTTTTGAAGTGGGAGAACCGCGGGGGTTCTCGAATCTCGATCATGATTGAGGTAATGGGTGAATCCAATTCATCGAGCTCATCATCACTAGTGTATGATTTTCTAAGCACCAATGACCGACTCCTTTCCATGGTTTGACCTCCTGTAACGTCTTTTAGGGAATTCGTGGAAGGTGGCGAATAGACTATAGGAGTAGCCATACATTGGAAGTTTGAAACAGAATCTTCTCCGGCCTCGGAAAGGTCCTGATTGAGAAGAAAACGAGAACTGAGTGCCATAAACTTGCAACTGTGCAGAGTGATGAAAGAAATGGAAAGGTTGTATCTAAGCAAAAAATTGTATCTTGTTTTACAACAAACCTCCTCCAATGCTTCAAAAACTGCCTGTGAAACTGAATTCGGGTTGAACTCAACAGGTACAAACTTGTTAAGAACTCTGATGATCAGGGGGGCACTGAACTTAGGGCATACCTACAGCATTAAAATTCAAAGGGAAGATGAGGTATAATACAATATATATATTATTGCTTATGGAAATTAAAATTAATGTTTTAATAATTTCAGAACTATACCTCTTTCCTAGTAGACCTATCCACAAGCATCTCGGATGGAAGCATCGTGAGATCACTCAATGCATTTAGGAGGCAAAAAGACTTGAAGGAACCGTCACATACAGCATTTTTGCAGTCGCCTACTTCCTTGCTGCCTTCGGGACTCTCATTTTCATCGATACCAAACAGATCTGTTGGCCATCTTGACCAGTTTCCAATCTGGTAACACAATGATAGAAATGTAATAAACGTCTTCGTTCTTATGTCATTATTCAAGCAACTTCATTGAAGCAATTTCAAATTCTAATCACAATCTTTTATTATCTGTTGACATAACATTTGGAGCAAGGAATCACAGGGTGCAGACATTTAGCTTTCTTTAAATGAGTAATAATTCTGCGACTAGAAAAAGCATCTGATGTGTTACATAGATAAGATCTTGCACACCGAGGAGGCAATTAAGTACGAAAGTAGCTACATAGAAAGAAGCCAGAACTCTGTTACTCACGGCATTTTTTAGTTGTACGCCTGCCCCAAAACTTGATTTTCCTGCAGGAATGGGAAGAACCTTTGAAACGCTTATTGGATCGGAGATGGGATCCATTGGCATTTCATCAGCTGATTCACGAAGAATAGCATTGAACATTGCAACATCTAATCTACTAACCAATTGCTCCATTACCTAATGATGGAACAGACAACACTGTCTCTATCAAATTTGCATTTCAACAACATTATCAATTAGATAATAAAATCATAAGAAACAAGGACATGTCCTCCATGCATATGTGAAAACAAATCATATAGTATATCATAATACCAATTTAGCCAGCACAGCTAAGCAGCCGTACTAGTGCCCACATGCTCCAAGGGGACAAAGCCTTTCACAGGCATCTTCAAAAGCCTTCTTCCAAAGCTCAACTGAAAAGTTCCCCTGCTCTTGATCACCTAATCCATGTCTTCAGCCCAAGGTTTTCCTCGAGCTTGAGCTCTTTGCAGCAGCAGACTGCATATATGGAGTCAAAGTCTAGCAAATATAATAGAGGGAAATAATGTCAGGTACGACCTCTGAAGATATAATGATGTGAGCTTACAGGAAGGATTGACCTGCCACCAGACAGATTCGATTATTCTGGAGAAGATCCAAGCTTCAAACTTTTGCAATGCAAGTAAAAATGTCTGAAGATCCACCCAGTCATCCGAACATTTTGAACATAGCTTCATTTCCTTAATAGCGTGGCTAACAGTAGCTCTCAATACAATTGTATTTGATAACCAGAAGGTTAACCTATTAAAATTGTAAAGAAATGAATATCAGGTTAAAGGTGTGAAGAGATAAGCATTACGCCACAGATTACTAATTGTTATTTTGTACAGCATGCAAACAAATTAACATCTTTGACAAAAGAAAAGGTAGAATCTAAAATCCCCCGGATTCATTTTCTAAAAAGAAACAAATTACGGAAACTGTGCGTGCACACATTGGAACATCATTTCCACATGCTTTAGAGATCAAAACCAATCCTGAAATAGCAGCCCTTGCAGCACTCGGCCTCTTATCTTGGGTATTTGCTCTACAAGCATGAAGATAGAATCTACAAAGTCGTCTAGCAGGAGCATGAACCTTGTTTGTAGAACTTCCATGCTCTGCAACAACAGAATAAAGACTAGCCTCGAGAACTGCAGCTTCTCTTAATTCTTCTTCAAGCATTTCAATTTTGGAGTACAGTTCAACTTTGTTGTTGGAAAAGCTCTTTGCATTTTCGTTGCTTTCATTACACGTGTCGCTTGTAGAACTGTTATGAATCTTTTCAGAAATATCATTTTCCTTTGCCTTCTTGACCTGAGTTTTTTTTAGCAGCCCATGACTGTTTCCTGAGTCAACTTTGCTGTTTGAAAAGCTGTTTGTGGATTCTTCCCTTTCACCAAGTATGCCAGTTGTACCATTAGAAGTCTTATCAGGGATAGGATTCTCCTTCGAGTTCTCCATGAACTGGATCTTTGATGGTCCATTGCTCTTAGCTTTGCTAACATGTAACTGAACAGGTGTCGCACACTTTTGTCTATCATTCGATAGGAAACCACCTTTCAGTTCAGTTGTTGCCCTACTGGACGCAAAAGTATTACTCCTCAATGCGACTTGCTTTCTCTGAGAATCCTGAGGTGGTCTAAAACCTAACCTCTCCTGCAGAGAATATTCCTCGGGACCCAAAATCTGGCTATCCAGCTCATCTTCCCATGATGACTTCTCAGCATTTCCCTCCCAATGACGAACACGTGAATTGGTACTTAAATATCTGTCTACGTGGCTTTGGTCATGTCTTCTGGCTTTTCTAGCATCCTTTGTCTTTCTTTGGGAGTCTTCATCTTTTACATTATCTGAGTTCACATCAACAGGAATGGCAACACGGGCCTTTGAGGATGAAACTTTACCCGTGTGATGAGTTACAGGATTCTCAGGATTGGAGGAAAAGTGCTTTGAAGAGGAAAGAGATGTATTCCCATTCAATTGCTTGAATACTTCACCCAATGTACTTACCCCTGAGTTTGCACTTGTTCCATCAGAAGGAAAAGCGAGTCCAGGCCTTGCTATCCTGCCATTCACTGGTTCTGATCCAATCTGTAGTCAATTGTGACTTGCAATTAAACATTAGAAATATATAGTTTGCTAGGTTGATGACAGTCATCAAATTAACCAGAAACTACAACAGCCCTATAATAGAATCATGCTCGTACATAGAAACTTCAATCCAGTGTCTGTCCAAAGCTAACATAGACTCTCATAAAGCAGTAACAATAAATTTTGCTCATGTTATTGCTCCTAGTGATTTTGAGTTCAGGGTATGGCCTAATTGCCAGCATTATTCAGAACGATGCATATGCTCGGTAAAAGTAATTTCAAATAACAACAGCATAATACAGGATTATCAAAGCATAATTGTTCTTATTCCCATGAAAACTTTGCTTATGGCAATGCTTCAGGAACCCTTGAGTCTGCCAAGACGATTTCAGAAATCTTAAAGCCAACTCAATTAAAAACCTCTAATTCAAGGGCATTATAGAGACAATTCAATGTAAATGGAAACAAATAACAACAGGAGAATAATGAACTCAAATACCTTGTCATGTTGGTTATGTGATGAATGTGTAGAAAGATCATCGTCATCAGTTAAAGAGGCAATCTCGGCTTCTTCATATATTGATTCAGAAACAGTCACTCCCATCCTTATCAAGTGACAGTCCTTTTGGCAAGCTGCCTCTCGATGACGAGCTGGAGCTACCTTTATCAAACGGTTGGATATTAAGATAAAGAACAGGCTGTTCCGGGATCCCGGTCTTTGAACTCTTCTTCAAGTTAATAGGAGTGGCAACACTTATAGTTTCCATGATAATCCCATAATCAGCAAGGTTTACAGCAGCAGATCCTAAAAGTAAGATATTGTTTTATTGAATAAAAAATATTATATATTTATATTTTATGTAAATATTAAAATTTGAACTCATACAAAATAAAATAATATTTAATCACTGAATCGATGAATAAATTTGAACTTGATTTCTCTTTTACCTGTTTAGAAAGTGAATTACTCATTTATTACCAAATCTATAATTTCCATGTTACTGAATTTTCACATAATATTTATATTATTTTATAATTCTTTAAAGTTTTAAATTGATTAATCAAATTATGTGTAGAGTATAAAAATATATTTCGACTACAGGGCATTATTTATTAAGTCATTCGACTATTAATGTCATAAAATGGTATCTTGATTATAGGATGTTACTTTGTTAAGATAATCAACTATAAAAAGTTACAAAATGATCATCTGACTATTCATTATGCTTCGAACTCGTCATTTTTTTGTTAAAAATTAATGGTAGTTTGAGCTAAACGTTAACATACTAACTGGGATATGATAGTCGTTTGAGATTCTGGGATCATATTATATCATATCTCAGTTAGTAAGTTAACGTTCAGCTCAAATTACCATCAATTTTTTTAACAAAAAAGAAAGAGTTTACGATGAATAGTTAGATGGTCATTCTGTAAATTTTAATAGTTGGTGACTGAAAAATAATATCATATAACCGAAGAACTATTTTGTAACTATTAATAGTTAATGTACTCAATAAAATAGTGCCCATAGTCGGGAGGCTATTTGTAATAAAGAAAAGAGTGAATCACTTTCATGCAGGCCAAATCCGGCTGACATACAAATTAAGGACAAATCTTTGTCTAAGACCGGGTTTAATTAGTTAATACAAAAGTAATTAACAAAAATTTAGCCTTGTATTAGGCCAACCGTTTGGGTTAACAAAGAAATAAAACAAATGATGATTGAAATCATATGGTTCAACAAACCAAAGAAACCTTCAGCCCAACGGAGCTACTTTAAGCGGCCATTGTAAAAATCAAAGATTCAACAACAAACGTCAAAGCCTTTTGTTCAAGGAACATGACAGCGGTGCATGGTGGTTCTGGCGTCCGATATATCGCCCGGAAACTTGTGTTTCCGGTCAACTACGAGGAGGAGGTTTCGCAGAGGCTCTGCGATGCTTTGCACGGAGATGATTCGAAGCTGGCGTCTGAGTGTTTAGCTGATCCTTTTGTGGACGTCAACTTTGTCGGAACGGTGAACTTGAAGTCTAAGACGACCGAGATTTCGTTGCACGATGAGGCTGCCAGCGAAGTTCTCGTCGAATATGAGGAGTTTAAGACTGAAGTTACTCCCCTCTTCCTTGCTGCTCATGCCGGGAACATGTTTCTCGTTAAGAAGTTGCTGGTATATATAACAGTTAGTTTATATATGTGCGCGCGCGCGCGTATGTATATGTATATGCATGCAGTATTGGAAGATGAAATAATTAAAGCAAAGCCCTAATCCTTTTTATTTGGCAGAGTTTAGGAGCTAACGTGAATCACAAGCTATTTCGAGGTTATGCTACCGCAGCGACAGTCAGGGAAGGCCATCTGGAGATACTCGAGGTGCTCATCGACAGTGGTGCGTGTCAAGAGGCGTGCGAGGAGGCATTGCTGGAGTCAAGCTACCTCGGGTATGCCAAACTCGTCGAGCGGCTAATGGCAACCGATATGATCCGCCCGCAGGCTGCCTTACGAGCTCTCGTATCCGCCTGCTGCAGGGGATTTGTTTATTTTGTTGACATGCTTATCAAGGTAAAATAGTTCTCATCATGACAAATTTTCACCTGTTTTTTAGTTCTTAACCGCGGTTATGCTCATGACAGTGCGGAGTAGATGCCAATGCAACTAATCGGGTGCTTCTTCGATCTTCCAAGCCTTCTCTATATGCGAATATCGACTGTAATGCGCTATCTGCTGCCGTTGTTTGTAGGCAGACCTCTGTTGTTAGATCACTTTTTCAGGTATGCATCTTTGAACACTATCGATGAAGATCCATAATTACTGTATAGGGTTCAAGATCGAGTTGTTGCTTGTATAGTTACATGCAGAAAGTTGTCAAATTGCATTACTAACTTATTCGAAACCGATGATACTAGTTCGGCATCAAGACAGACGTAAAGGTGAAAGTTGGAGCTTGGTCTTGGGATATCGATACGGGCGAGGAAATTAGAGTCGGTGCCGGACTAGCTGATGCTTACCCCATCACCTGGTGTGCTGTGGAATACTTTGAAGTCAGCGGTTTAATCTTGCGGTCCCTACTTCAACGCCTCTCCCCGAACAACCTTCACTGTGGCAGGACCCTCATCCACCATGCCATCTTATGTAACAATGCTTTAGCTGTTGAAGTGCTTCTGGATTGCGGTGCTGATGTAGAAATTCCAGTCGAGACAACTTCGAAAACGGAGTTACGCCCTGTGCATTTGGCTGCGAAACTAGGATTTGCTGATGTTCTTCAATGCCTGATTGTGTCCGGATGTGATATCGATTCCCGAACAGCTTTTGGAGATTCCGCACTTATGATTTGTGCTAGATACAAACGTGGGGACTGCCTTAAAGTATTGGCCTCAGCTGGAGCTGACTTTGGATTGTTAAACTCCGCTGGCCAAAGTGCAAGTTCCATTGCAGGGTTAACCAAATGGAATCATGGCTTCCAACAAGCAGTTGTGGATGTGATTCTAGCAGGGAAAAAGCCTCGATCGAGCAATCCCTCCGTATTTTCTCCATTAATGTTCAGTATTCAAGCAAACGAGATCGAGGCTTTAAAGAAACTCCTTGAACGGACCGATATCGACCTTAACGAACAAGACGATGATGGAAATTCAGCTATGATGATGGCTGCATCAGGAGTCCATTTGGAAGCCTTCGAATTACTTCTTCGTGCTGGTGCTAATATAAAGTTGTCGAATAAATACGGCGACACCGCCATCAGCTTATTAGAGGTAAACCAGAACGGTGATGTATTTGACCAGTTGATGCTGGAGTATGCACTTGAAGAGGTACATGGTCCGATCGGGTTTTACGCTCTACATCGTGCGGCGAAGCGAGGAGACTTGAATTTGGTTCAGGTATTAGTTAACAGAGGATGTGATGTTAATGCATTTGATGCTGATGGATACACCCCATTAATGCTATCAGCCAGAGGAGGCCATGGTGTATTATGTGAATTTCTTATATCCAGTGGTGCAAAATGCGACATAGAAAACGCGAGGCACGAAACAGCTCTTTCGCTCGCGAGGAAAAAAGGGTGCGGAAACGATGCGGAGAATGTCGTGCTTAACGAGCTTGCTCGAGCCCTGGTTGTCGACGGGAGCCGGGTGAAGAAGCACACTAGGTGTGGTAAAGGATCACCCCACAGCAAAGAACTGAAAATGATGCAGAGCAGTGGCATTCTGCGGTGGGGCAAATCAAGAAGGAGAAACGTGGTGTGCAAGGCAGCCGAGGTCGGTCCAAGCGACAAATTCCGGTGGAACCGGAGGAGGAAGCTCGACGTGGAAGAACCGGGGATGTTCCATGTAGTGACTACGAGGAACAAGGAGGTACATTTCGTGTGTGATGGTGGGGTTGAAATGGCCCAATTGTGGGTCAGAGGGATTCGGCTTTTGACGAAGGAAGCCATTTTTGGCGAACACAAATAAGTTAAGACGTGCAATGAAACATGGATTAGGCCAATTTGAACATGCAAGCCACTTATTTCTAATACTTCTCAAGATGTATGAGAATCGGGCTCGCTGTTTACTAGACAAAACTAATCGAGTACCTTCGTTTCATTCCATTTCTAACTCGAATCGAACTCGAATTTCAGAAAGTAAAACTCGATCGAACTTGATATATCCAAATAAATATAATGCATAAGGCTCATCACTCATATTTAATAAATTTCGATTAAAATATTAAGGATGGTCATGGATTAGATCGAGTTAAATTTTTAACTTATCCAAATTCAACTCAAGTGTCACGCTCCGTCATAATTACGAACCAATGGGCAATGGGACATCATCGAGTAAATTCGAGTTAAAACTCATCAAATTGAAATCAAATAATATGTTAGACCCTTGTTATTTCAAAACAGTTCTTTATAATAAATCGGGTCAGAGAATTGTTGGTTTAACTGATTCATCGTGACTGAGTTTTTTATGGGATAATACACACCTATCGTATCAATTGTTGATGAAAACACTTTTATCTCACCAACTGTTAACGATATACCTCTTTTGATTTGGATGGAGAGTCGTGACCAATGAAGTAATGATCGTATGTCAATGTTAATATATGTTGAGTAGAGAAAATGAGTTTCAAGTGGAAAAAGATATAGCCTTCTTCTCGATCGTGATTGAAATGTATTTATAATAACTTTAATTAGTTTTGTAAGTCAGTAAATTAAATAAATCTAAGCAATAGAATTTATCCAAAAATCTCAATTAATAAAGGGCTAATTGTACGCACTAATTTGTTACCATATGAATAAATTTTTTTAGGTTTCTTACTGTAAGAAATGTTTAGGGAGTTTTTTAAAAGATTTGTGAAATGGTGGAAGTTGTCACCAATCATTTTTAAGGTGCGATTGAAACGTCTAAAATTGGGTAATTTTAATAAAACATTTTATTTTACCAAAAGTACTAAATTTGGGGTCTAGTAAAACCAAAAATCAGGTTCGCGGGACACGGTTACGTGTGAGGAAGGATTAACACCTCACCACGCTCGTAAAAACGTCTTTACTTGACCACGAATATTTTTATCTCGACTCATGTATGCACTTAATGTATTTCTAGATTAACGATGAATTTTTTTTATTTCTCAAATATAGCTTTAAATTATCTAAAAGCTAAGAGAGTACAAAATTATGCTTGTAAAACCTAAAATTTCATAAATTAATCTATATAAAATTTCAAGGGAGAAGTCTTTCATGAGTGATCTTAAATACTCCCCAACGTCTAGAAAAATATTAAAATTTAACCCTATTCAAGAATACACCTTGATTTTCATGAATTATACTAAAACTCAGAACTTACAACTCTTTAAAATATCTCAGAATTCTCTAACGTCTAAGAAAATTTAAAATATTCATCAAAGTCCAAAAATTCCTATGATATTTGTTTTTATGAAAAAATCAAAAATATGTTCTCTAGTTAAATAACCTCGAAATCCTCCGACGTCTAGAAAGATATTGAACTCCCAATTAATTTGAGAACGTGCCTCGTTTAAAACAAAGGTTTTTAAAGTTACGAGGTTCTTTTGAATTTTCTGTTTTTTTAAATATGATTTTAATTTTTTTATTTTAAATAAATTTTTTAAAATTATCATATTGTGACACGTGTCACTTAACATGGAAATTAACGTTGTTGACAGTCCAAATACCTAAAGTGATAGTATTTATAATGTTAGGCGTCGGTATCATTTAATAAATAATTTATAAACCTATTCGTGAAAATCGCTATAGTTTGATGATTTATTTTATAATTAAGTCAAAATAAATTTTAATGAATAAAACAACGACAAAATGGGTAAAGTTGTAATGCGGACCGAATCTGCCTAGTTCTGGATCCTGGTCTGACCCATTTCAGAATACAAAGTTTGTTCAAGGCCCATTTTTCAATCAGTTACGTGGCGTTTCGATAGAGTTACACGTCATCGTCAACTTGATTTCCGTGCAGACAGCGATGCTAACTCCAATTAAAAAAAATTCAAAAAGATTCGGGAGGCACTGCAATTATTAAATCAGCGACTCCAAATTATTTATCTACATGGCCCTTCTACTTTAAAAAAGTTTGTATTTAACCAAATAATTTTCCTTTTTTACTATCGAACAAAAGGGCAAATTACATAATAAAAGCCTTAATATGAGTTTCAGATAGGTCTGTAAATGAGACGAGACAGATCATGAACTACTCAATATTGATTCGATGAACGCTCGATAAATACTCGACTTGAGCTCGACTCAAGTTCTTAATGAATCAAGACGAACTATTTGATACTCGATTTTAAAGCTCGAGAGCAACTCGAAAAAATTAGTTATCAAAATTTTATTTTTAATAAAACATAGTAAAAATATTTGATAGGTATTGCCAATATTCATATTCGTATTAAATTTCATCATCGAGATGATTTTTCTCATAAAACTATATTATCTAACAAAGTTTAGTTTAGCAAATAAAAATTCGATAAAAAAAATTGGCTCATGGGGTTAATTTTGGATTTGAGAAACAAGAAGGTCTCATTCAAGAAAAGTAATAAGTATAGACACCTATAAATAATTTAGGCAAAAATGTCGGTGCCTCGGGACTTAAAATAGAGAGCAAAACGGGAAGACGAAAAACAATCTCCCTCCACTCCAAATTAGAAAATAAAATCCGTCTCCAACGGCGTCGTTTTAAGCTCAATCATGCTTACACACGGCACAGAGAAGTTCAACTCCCACTCGCTCAATCATAAATTCATAGTCACTCGCTGTGTGTTAACCGCCACGTTATCCATTAACGATATGTGTAGCGAGTAGATAGACTCAACATCTACCGCGAGTAGGCATTTTCCGATAAGAACAGATATTTTTATTTTAGTTCAAGCAAAAATAATTATCGATCCTCTTCTTCGTTTTCTTGTTCATTTCCCCCCCCCCCTTTCTCCGTCTTTGAAGGGAAAGCAAAATCCCCAGAGAACCTAAAACCCAATAGGGTTTCAATTTGCTCAATTTCGCATCTCTTTGTCTCCATTTTTCCTATTTCACTTTATCCGGTAAGCAATTTGTTTTCATTTTAGTTCATGTTACATATAGCTAAAGCTCGTAGCATTAGTTGTTGCATACAGCTTTGCTTTGATGAACTCTATTTAGCTTAACTTAAATGCTATGTTTATTGTACTGGTTGGACGATCCTTGTTCGAGAATCAATAAGGTTTAAGTTGGTTTTGTGCATTCTTCATTGGGTTGTTTTGTTTGCAATTATTTGTAGGTTTAGGGTGTTATATTTTGGGGAGCTGGTGTTCCTTTAGGTTTTAAAATTTTTTTGTCCTTTTCGATGATTTAAATAGAATGGGAGCTACACCTGAATTAGGTGGGCAGTTTTGGGTATGATCTGGTTTTGAATGGAAACAATTCTAAATGAGAAGAGACTAGGCTACTGCTTTGAGTAATCTAAATCAGGATTAAGCTAGAGATTTTAGACGGTTGTCTTTTTTCAATTGTTTCTGTCTATGTTAAATAGTCAGAACATAGTTTGACAGGAGTTCAAAATTATTTCTAAAAGAATTGCTGTATTATAAATGCTTTAAATTTGATACATATCCTGAAGATTAGGACGAAACTTCTGGTCCAATGCAAACAAAGAAAAGAATTTCTGGGAGGATTGCTTCTCAAGATCATGTCAGTCCCAAGGCTTCAAGACCTCAGAAGAAGGTATCCGAGAAGGTACAAGGTCCAGAGAAGAAAGTAACAGAGATAATTACTTCTTCTGTTAGGAAGAAGAAACCTGGTATGTTGCTAATTTTATCTCAGTATTTGTTTGATTGAAAGAAGATTGCAGTGATAATGCTTTTCATTTTATTGATTTCGGCACCATTGAAAAGTTTCAGTAGGTTTCATTTTATGTGGTTTCCATGTCAAAGTCTGTCCTTAACTGTCAGATTTGCTATGTTAGTTAAATAGTGAAATTTATCAAATTTCAGCTAGCACACTCCCAAAGAAAAATGAAGTGACTGTTGAGGCTACAAATTTAAATGCTAGATATGGCTTGCTACATGATGATGCTTCTGATGCTTGTCTGGGATTTGATGTGGTTAATGGTGTTCATGTAGATCATACGGTAATTTGTTTAGCTTTATTTTATTTTAGTTAGCTCTATGCTGCTGAGATTTTTCTTACTTCTTTTATTGTGTTGCAGGGCACTGATCAGCATATGACAGGTACTATATTTTCTCCAGGCTTCCACATACCTAAGATTTGTGGAGCTGAGATTGCATGCGCAGGTAGGTGATATATATGTGTGCGTCAATTGTAATAGCTTTCTGTGCTTTTATTTCTTTTATGTGAAATTGTTATCTTAATGCATGCATGATGTATCCATATGACTTTGTCAGAGGTTGTTATGGATTCTCATACTGGAGAAACTCTTAAGTATACTTCTGTAGAGGAAATATTTGTTGTGGACACAAATCCTGTAATTTGTACCACAGATTCTGGAGCTGTCCTTTCATCTGAAGTTTCAGCTATATACATGGCCATGAAAAACTCGAAATTGGAATGTGTTGATGAGCATGGTCAAGATTCTATGTCAACTGATGTCTGTGTGGAGGATGAATACTATGAGGAATTTGACGACTTTGATCCTTATTTGTTTATAAAGAACTTACCGGAGTTGTCATCTCTTGTTCCTGCTTTTCGGCCAGTGCTGCTACCCAAGCAGACCCGAAGTTGCCCACCTACGACTCTAGTCTTGGACTTGGATGGTGAGAATACTTTTGAATAATTAAATTGGATGAACTTTTATGCTTACAGTAGTATTATCGGCAGTATTTTAAACCTGAGCAACAAGTTCTAGATTTATATTCTTTTTTTTATCTTAATAATTAAGCAGATCTGAATTTACAACTGATTATTTGCTTAGAAAAATTTAAGCTTATTTTTGAAATGTCATTAGAATTCCTT